TTCGTTTGTCGGAAGCTCAATACCAACACATCTCGATTTCTTTGTTCCAAGTATCCGTCTAATAAAACGAGATCTGTGATTTGGTTCCAAGATCGGCGTCACATTGCGTCCACGAGGATCTCCCTTCCATTAATGAACCGAAGGAACAATATCGATAGTGAAAACAGACCCGGTTTAAGATCTGTTTCTTTTGTTTGCCTCACATGATATATCAAATGCGAAGAGTCTGATCTTCGCATTCGATCAGGCTCATTTAATCACATCTGGTGGTATCTTTTTCTTGATTGCGGTGGAAAGCACGGAAACAAGTGCATAGCTACTGTGTGGTGGGCTGCTCTATTTCCAGATCATGCAAATTAGTTCTGTTCTTGTTGAATAGCAGGTTAAGACTTGGATCTTGTCGTGAAGTGATCGAGTGATGCTGTTCTTGTTGCATATTGTGGAATGCAGGACCAGCGATGACAGTTGCTTTGGAGTCAGCTAAGGAAGTTGGAGTGAAGAAAGGGCACATGAAACAGAGGAGGGTTGTTGTGACTGGCATGGGTGTGGTCACACCTCTCGGCCATGATCTGGATACCTTCTACAGCAACCTTCTTGAAGGTGTTAGTGGCATAAGCGAGATTGAAACATTTGATTGCTCCAGTTTTCCGACGGTATATCTTCTACTAAACAAATAGCTTGATATCTTAAGATAATAACTAATACATTCTAATCTGTCTATTTACTGCTCTTAAGAACTGGATAGGTGAATGGGGTTAATTTAGTAGACCAAGAGATTCATAGGAGTTCCTGATAACAAACTCTTTTGTAGAGGATTGCAGGGGAAATTAAATCTTTTTCTACAGATGGTTGGGTGGCACCTAAATTGTCAAAGCGGATGGACAAGTTCATGCTTTACTTACCGTTGGCAAAAAAGCATTGGAAGATGGTGGAGTCACAGAAGACGTCATGAGCCAGTTCGAGAAAACAAGATGCGGTGTGCTAATTGGGTCTGCAATGGGTGGGATGAAGGTATGCCTTTTATTAGCATATATCTGAGTTGATATGCTCTAACTTTAGCACTGGGAAGGTTTTGTCTTACACTTTCTATGACTTCCAATATTATCAGGGATGGGTTGTTGCATTTGTCTAATGCTGTTCTGTGAATATTATACTTATTATGGTATTTCATGTTTCAGGTATTTAATGATGCGATTGAAGCCTTGAGAGTCTCATACAAGAAGATGAACCCCTTTTGTGTACCCTTTGCAACCACAAATATGGGATCTGCTATGCTACAATGGATCTGGTGCGCCGATTGACCCATTCTTGGAAAATTCTCTCGTGTCATAAGTGTTTAAAAAATATCTAAATTGGATGTCGTATGTTCTTTTTATCCTTAGGGTTGGATGGGCCTGTGTTAGAGCTAGCCTCAGGAAATTTACCACAAGGTAATTTTTGGCAACACAATAAAGACAATAAAACGGAAAAGATAAAAGCGACAAATGCCTTAGAAAGATGTTCCTAGGCCATAAAACACCCGAAAATACTAAACAAGAAAAACCAAACTATAAGCCCAAACTATTTAACTGAGTGTGGACTTAAACCAAAGTAAATATTTAAGTTTTCTTGTGGTACCACTTGTGGTGCTTCTTATGGTGTATCTGATTTCAAAGTCCAGACCCTTATTTATAGTTCCAATAAGAGACAACAAGTCTGATTTTCCCGATGTGGGACTATGAGACTTGCCAAAAACTGCATGTGCAACTAGTAACTTCTGCATTCTGAATGCGGCAAATCATATTGTACGAGGTGAAGCTGTAAGTTGCCCACTTCTTCCCATTGTTGGTTAACGCTAGTATTTTGGAACTCATGTCATGCATTTCCTTCTGTCCAAATGTTGCAGGATGTGATGCTTTGTGGTGGATCTGATTCAATGATCATACCCATTGGTGTGATTTTTCAGCTGAAACTGTCATCTATTGTGATTGTGATGAACAGTTTTTTACATGCGTAATGCTACATTGTCGTTAAATTTTTTGCAGGATTAGGTGGCTTTGTGGCATGCAGAGCACTTTCGCAAAGAAATAATGATCCTGCCAAAGCATCACGCCCTTGGGATGTTGTATGTGTATATTACTCTAACTTCTTATTTCTAAATTTGCTGAGACTTTTCTGCATAATTTTTGTATTTATGGTCTCATTTTTGCATTGTATCACTGAAAAATATTAAAAACTTGAATACCGACCAATACCCTGACCTGGTCTAGTGCCGGTCCTCGGTAGGACCAGTAAATACTGGTTTGTACAGATCAGTACAATTTGATATTTGATTCCTTGCTTAGTAGTTCACTAATTCATTATTTTTATTTCTATATCAGATGTAGGAACTCAAGTTTTCTTGTTGACTCGATGATTATTAGGATCGTGATGGATTTGTGATGGGCGAAGGGGCTGGCGTGCTACTGCTGGAAGAACTTGACCACGCTAAGGTCAGATTCATACTGTCGAATTTTCACATTTATCTCTTGCTTGTAGTTGTTTTCTGGATCTATCTATTTTCTTTCATTCTCTACAGCTAAGGGGAGCACAAATCTATGCAGAGTTTCTACGAGGAAGCTTCACTTGTGACGCTTATCATATGACAGAGCCACATCCCGAAGGTAACCTATTCTTTCATCGTGTCATGATGTAAAAAAACTTGTTTTGCCGTTGTTGTTCATCTTCTTTTTATGCTCCTAACAATCTCATGGCCTGTGTTTATCAGGGACAGGTATTGTTCTCTGCATTGAGAAGGCACTGTCAGAATCGGGAGTATTCAGAGAGGATGTTAACCATGTAAATGCTCATGCAACTTCGACACTCTCTGGTGATTTAAAGGAATATCAAGCTCTTATTCATTGTTTTGGCAAGAACCCTAAGGTGTGTGATTAAGGTTTAAAATGTCTTACTGCTTTTATCATGTAACCTAACTAAATGTTGCAGCTTAGAGTGAATTCAACAAAATCCATGACCGGTCACCTACTGGGTGCCGCTGGTGCAGTGGAAGCTGTTGCTGTTGTACAGGTAATGATCCCTGGCTGTTGTCGGGCAGATACCAAAGCAATCTTTTTTATTAAGCAGGGTTCCTTGTGGGCAATTTAGGAGTTTTCTTACTCAAAAAATAATAATACTAGTACAGCCACGTGAGTGATGTATCCGTATCTGTTTTCACATTATTCAATCTCTTGCTAAGCTAGATCCCTGCTTGTTTGAGTATTCTTTTGCAGGCTATTCGAACAGGGTGGGTTCATCCAAATATTAATCTGGATAAACCAGAGGAAACTGTGGTACGTGTACATCTTTCCTCCTGTCACTACTAATATGTCGGTTCACATTCACAATGATTTTTCACACCTCCAATCATGAAATAAAGGAAGAAATATATATTCAATTACTAAGGACTAGTAAGTATGATGAATAGATTTGATGACTGTTAAATGAAAGCGCTGACAAAAATCAGCGAAGATTTAGTGCTCTTTCAGTTAAAAAAAGGGAAATCATAGGGTGGTCATAAAGAGCTTTATTCCGTTCATATTCTTAGAGATTTAACTGGGAAATGGCCTGTATATTTCTGTGATTTGATTCAGGATGTGGATATGCTAGTGGGGTCAGGAAGGTAGCAGCACTATCTAATTCCTTTGGGTTCGGCGGGGCACCTTACAAGTAATAGTGATATGGTGCAGATCAGTAGTATTGGATAGGTCGTGTACCCTAGGGTTTATTTTTTGTTTAAATATTGGTGTTGATTTGATATTTGGCGAAAGAACAATCGAGCTGGAACAATTTTTTTACTATTATAATTATTTTCATCCTAATAATTTTTTTTTGCCCCGTCTTGTGGAAGGAACATTAGTTTGTTTGTTTGTTTGTACATGCATCTGAGATGCTGTCAACACCAGTGCTCTTCCAGGGAAGCACTCGACCTGTGTTTGACAAACGCTGGATGCCAACATCAGCGAACTAAAAAACGTTTTGCCCCTCCTGATGATGATCTGAAATGAATGCAACAAGTCAGTCACTCTCGTTGAAGGTTCACTTTGATGATTCAGTTGTTTTTTTAGTATAAATGGACCAGGTCAAGTTTAGGTGGTTAGATTCAACCACCTTGTCGTTGTTGCTATTACTTACTATGGTCAAGTTTAGGTGGTTAGATTCAATCTCCTCCAATCCAGACCATGATCCCAGATGATCCCGTGCTCAAAATCCACACAAAGAACTCCAACTTCAAGAAAACGTACTCTGTTTTACCAATTGCCCCGCTTAAGCTCCAGCGCTCCCTCCTTCATCCCAATTGATCATCGACGTAGATCGATGCGTGCTCTCAGTGACAATATGACCGAATACCAGTCGGAGTCGGAGTCGGAGTCGGAGTGGACTACATCATCAACATTGCAGTCTGAGTTGTTGTTGTTGACCCATTTTCTTTAATTGCCTGATGTCCAAGCTGCTGTGTTCTCCTTTTCAACCGATGGCGATGGCATCGAGCAGATGCAGTGCTTAAACCGGCACCCCAGTTCTGTTTCCTGTTCAACCTTTTTCCCTCCGATGCTTACGCATCCGACACATATTTGCCCAACCAAAGTCACGCTGACTTTGAAATTGTCCAGCTCCCGGTCATACATACATATATATAGCCAAGCCACTCAATTGGCGTAGGAGAACATCAACTTCTCCAGCATCGGTGGCAAGCAATTCATGGATATCAAATATTATAAAGACCGGAAGCACCGTTCAAGTCAAAGGTCATATGTAACCATTTGGGATGCAGTGGAACCACTCATCAAGTCGTGGACTGGTTTGACATTCTGCATCCCAGGTTGTTCGGTGCATGGATGCCCCGTGTCCCACCCTGCCATGCTCCGGCATCAACGGAGACATTGGATGCAATGAGATGACAACATGAACACGTCGAACACGGTAGAAGCACCTTATCGCCATCTGTTCTTGTTTGAACATGGAAAATGTTCTGTGACGATAGAACTCAACTTTTGTTTATTGACTACACGTAAAGAGTACAACAAATCAAAAGATGACATGCTTGGATATATATGAACCTTCTTCTTCTATGTGATTTTTGCCTCGCATATTCAGTGATCAATCTAACACATCGTCTTGCTCGCTTTTGTCTTCTTTGTAGTCCTGGTTGTTGTATGCACCGAATGCCTCGGACATCCAGTTCCGTTTCCTCCATGAACTCCAACCCATTTCCTCGCACATCTCGTCGCTGTGGTTGATGCTGAAGGTGGAGATGCAGTGACGGCGGTAGAATCTGGTGGTCCTCTTCATGACCTCCGTCTCCTGGCTGCTCTGCCGGAACATCTCCTCCACGCTCGGCAACTCGAAGTGCCCCTTCAGCAGCCCCCCCAGCCATTTGCACCGCAGCTCCGACGTGTGGAGGTTGGAGACGCTCTCGATGTACCCCACGAAGGCCATGTGAGGGATGAGAGGGTGAATCGTTCCCCTGTCATCGATCGAGCATTGAGCCCACTGTTTCGGATGATTAAGAAGAAGAGAGAGCACGCACCTGTACAGGGGCATGACACCGGCTGAGTCCACTATCAACCCACGGTACGGCTCCGGCAGCACCGATCTCAGCTTCTTCTTGCCGTCAAACCCGGTGGCCAGCAACACCACATCCGCCTCCAACCTGGTGCCGTCGTCCAAGACCACACCACCTTCCCAGAAGCACCACCGGGATGACTTCTTGAACAGGATCCGTCCTTGGTCGGCCTCCGCGAAGAAGTTGTCCGGCAAGATGGCCATCTGACACGACGCGTAGTCCTCCACGAAAGGATGGTCCGGTTTCAGCCCGTACTTCTCCAGCGGCAGCTTCCATGTGAGATAAGACTCGATGAACTTGGAGACCCCTCTCCTCTGTGGCGAGACACATGAAGCTCGAGATCATCGTCACCACAACAAAAGCTACAAATCAATGAGCGAGCGAAGACGCATTACCACGGGAGACAAGAGGTGGCAGGCGAGGGATCTCAACAGTCCCTGATTTGGCCTCTCGTGGAGGAACTGAGAAAACCTGGTCGAGAAGAACAGGAAGAAGGGTAGACCCCAAATAGAGTAAGAGGGAACAGTCCAATGAAGCGTCCTTATCACCATCGTGCATGCCTCACCACCCGGCCCTTCACCCCAGACAAGATTAAAAAAGAGAGTCAACGATACGCTAGAAAAAGCTGTTGACTTTCGGAAAAGTCTTTAGTCAACCAATAAATATATCGGATCGCTTGCTGTGTCCCTGAATCCGGTGATCACAAGGATTTTAGTCAACCATTCAATTTTTTTTATTTCTTTATTTTTATAAAGTGGGAGGAGATTATAAATATGAAGAGAGTCAAGTGAATTTTTAGTTAATTTTTTTTTTATTTCTTTCACGTGTTGACTTTGAACACAATCTAAATATTTATGTCTACAAAGAGATTATAAATATTAAAAGAGTCGAGTGAATTTTTAGTCAATCAGTCAACCTTTTATTTCTTTTATGTGTTGACTTTGGACATAATTTAAATATTTATGTCTGCGAAGAGATTGTAAACATTGAGAGAGTAGAGTGAATTTTTAGTCAACTAGTAAAATTTTTTATTTCTTTATATGATGATTTTGAATATAATCTAAATATTTATGTCTACGAAGAGATTATAAATATTGAGAGACTCGAGTGAAATATATATATATATATATATAGAGTTTGACCATAATATTTTGGGTTGAATTGATGTCTGATCAGTGCTTTTACCTCGATTGACTGCAGCACATTCGACTGCCAAGTCAATGGCGGATTTCTTGTAGCCGATGACCACAACCTTCTTGTCCTTCATCAGAGTCTCTGCGGCCTCCTCGTCGAGCTTGCAGTAGTCCAGCGAGTGCATCACCTTTCCCTGGAAGACCTCCGGCCCCTTTCCCCGAGGGAACTCCGGCATGTTCGGCACGTCGCCGTACTTCCCGATGCACATCACCACGAACTCAAACTCGTACCACTGAGACACAACCAAGAAGAAAAGGTCGGCTGATGGATTCGGAGAGGGAAAGGGAGTGCGAATTTTAAAGCAGCAGAGCCACCTGGACAGTGCCGGACGGGCCGGACACCACGCCGACCTCCCACAACGGTCGGTCGCCCATGGCCTGCCGCTTGCCTCCCCAGAGCTGCGGGAACCCGGCGTTGCCGCCGTCGCCGAGGAACCGGACCTCCACCACCTTGGACTCGAGGCGGATGAGTCTCCACAGGTCGAAGCGGGTGGCGTAGCCGTGCAGGTACTCCAGTATCTCGGCGTGGGTGGGGAAGCTCGGGTCGGTGCGGTCCCTCCACTCGTAGTCGGAGAACTCGTAGTCGGGCCGTGGCGTCTGCAGCCTCGTGGAGCGGAAGGAACAGTGCTTCCACACCCCTCCTATCGAGTCCGTCGCCTCGAAGAGGGTCGGCTCCAGCCACCGGAGCTCCTTCGCCGCCGCGAGCCCGCTAATGCCTCCCCCTATGATCGCCACCCTCGGCTTCCCGCTCTTCTCCATCCTCCCTTCCTCTCTCTCTCTCTCTCTCTCTCTCTCTCTCTCTGTGTGAGATGAATGTGGTGTATGGAGAGCACAGGAACGAGAGTATATATAGGCAATATGGCACGTGACCTGCATGTGGACGTACATGGCAAGGCAATGAGAGATTGGTGTGTGGTTTTCGGTGGTTGACTTTGTTGTATATTAGATCAGCATTTTGTGTATGATGAACCTTCAAATCCAATACTTACCCCTATCAGTCCTAGTGATGACTCTACCCCACACATCCAGGAAGAAGAAGAAGAAGAAGAAGAAGAAGATAAAACCCTAGTGAGAACACAAAACTTCTCCGTACGCATACAAGCTCTTGAATTCTACTTCTGAGAACAGGTCATTTTGATGCTGCATGCAAGAATTCAAAGCCTCATCTCGTATCTCTGACCACAACCAAGAAATCTTGACCTCTGTAAGTACCTGTGTGGGTGTAATGGCTCACATGCGGTAGGGAGGGATTGATGGGAAGGTGGCATGTGATTTCCATGAAACCGGCATGGTTTCAAAGTTGGAACATGGTGTTCCACGGTTTGAAACTGGCAGAACAAAACCTAATGCCCACTGGGGGTTGACTTCTAGACCGCCACCAGCAGCAGCAGCAGCAGGAGTCTCTGTTTACTTGCATTGTTTTTTGTGTGGCGTTAGATTTGGTGGTGGGTTGACACCTTCCCATCTACTGAAAGTTTTCCATGGCTTTGGTGGGCTCAGAAAGCTTGTCATCTTCTCTCACGTACAGAAAAAGGCATTTCTTTGTGCCTATGGGATCTGATAGCTTATTCTATGGGGACACTCGAACCAAGTCCTCATGTGTCTTCTGCATGTATTCCCAAGTATACCTCGATCATTTACCAAGGGTTCTGTACTCACCTTTCATTTTGGCTTCACCTCCGACACATCAGTGTGTCTCTCCCTCTCATTGTCTCACACGCATATGTATGTAAATCCAAGCAATCACCAGTAAGAGAGAGAGAGAGAGAGAGAGAGAGAGAGAGAGAGAGAGTATTTCGTTAGGTAATTAC